CTTGAAGATTATGAAATCTCTTAAGTGCTTTAACAATTTTCTTGAATTTATTGTAACATAAGCATTGAAGTTCTCTGATTTCCCGATTTTTTAAATTTTTTAAAGTTATTGACAAAGCATAGAACAATGTTCTAATGTTCATGTAACTTCCCTTACGTTTCCTAAATTTGCATGAACCCCTCAGGACCAAGGTTGCAAAGACTCATTTCAGCTAAAATAATGTTTTTCGGAATAATTAAACCAAAAGATGGTATGATGGTATGTTTTACTTGTAACTTACAAGAAGAGGTTACAAAGTATGCGTTGGAAACATAAAACCTGTAAATTTTGCTTTCTATGAGTCACAATCAGCGATTTGCTGATCGCTGAGTGAGTGAGTGAGTGAGTGAGTGAGTTTGTGAAAAATCGCTGATTGTGACTCTCATGAAGTGAAATAAACAGGTTTAATATGTCAAACACATTCTTTGCAACCTCTTCTTGTATCCTACCAATTCAAAATTTGATCATGGCATCTAATTATTTCATAATTTAGAAAAACATTGTTTTAGCTGAAATGAGTCTTTGCAACCTTGCTCAGGACATTGCTGAAGTTTTCGGAAATTGCATGAGTTTCTCGGAACTCCTTTACAATGTTCTCTGAGCTTCACTAAAGTTCCTGAAAACCATTTAATTTCCCTGAAGTTTCCAAAATATTTATGATGTTTCCTTAAGTTCACTGGAGTCCGCTGGACTTTTTTGAAATGCCATGGTTTACGAATTTTAACAGAAGTTAATGAAACTGTCTTTAATTTATCGAAAATTACACAAAAGTCTGGACTTTTCTGAAGTTACAGAACTTTTTAAATGTGCCTGCAGCTAGTGTGGATCCGCAATAAAAATCTGATAGCATACTTGAAGTTCTGGGAAAGCTGAAAAAACTGGTGGGAGAAGATGAAAGAATCATTCGAGCGAAGGCTGAAGAAGCTTCCAAGATAAGGTAGAAAAAAAAAATTCCAGGGAATGTTGGATGAAACTTCAGTAAGTTAAAAAACGAATAATAACTTTCGGAAGTTAAATAATGTTTAAAAACCATCGTCTCGATTTCCTAGGAATTACATGGGTATTTATTGATTGATGGGTACCCAAAAACGGTGAGTCGAAAGAGAATCAAACATATGGCATCTTCAGAGATGATTGCTTAGAATTTTGAAGGCTCAATACAAGATACAAGTCTCTCACAAAAAAATTCTCCAAAATTCGAGCGCGGGAATCCATGTCTGACGCCATTTCGAAATCCAAGATGGTGACATCCGGTTACAGAAACACTGGAAAATACTGTCAAATACCCCATAATATGGGTTTTTGGAATCGGGGTGACTTATTAGGACTCAAAACCTATGTCTGACGCCATTTTAAAATTCAATGTGGCGACTTCCGGTTATAATAAAACATAAAAATAATGGTTAATAACCTACAATATGGGTATCTTAAGAATCGGGGTGACGTGGTGGTATTTGCCAATTTTTCTGTAACCGAAAGCCGCCATCTTGGATTTCGAAATGGCGTCAGACATCGATTTCCGGTCCCTAAACGTCACTCAGATTCCAAAAATACCCCTATTGTGGGGTATTTGGTAGAATTTCCAAGTTTTTATGTAACCGGAAGTCACCATCTTGGATTTCAAAATGGCGTCAGACATTGATTTCCAGTCCCTACACGTCACTCCGATTCCAAAAATACTTATATTGTGGGGTATATGACAGAATTTCCAAGTTTTTATGTGCCGGGAGCTACCATATTGGATTTTGAAAAGGCGTCAGATATCGATTTCTGGTCCCTGCACATCACCCTGACTCCAAAAATACCCATATTGTGGGGTATTTGGCAGAATGTCCAAGTTTTTTGTAACCGGAAGCCGCCATCTTGGATTTCAAAATGGTGACAGACATAGATTTCCGGTCCCTAAACGTCACTCCGTTTCCAAACATACCCATATTGTGGGGGTATTTGGCAGAATTTCCAAGTTTTTCTGTAACCGGAAGCCGCCATCTTGGATTTCAAAATGGCGTCACACATCGATTTCCAGTCCCTACTAGAAATACTCGGAGGAAGAGATGGACGGAGAAAACAAAATACAATTCGGCAGCAGGGATTTGTACCTAAATTATCTTGCAATCCTTGCTAGAAGCTAACATTTCACATGACTTTTACTTTTGATTCGATTTACGTGCATCGTAATATTTTGCACATTTCTTCGTGCTATTAGTTAACCAACTAATATAAATTAATCAATAGAGTTAGAATATTGTTTTTGATTCAAAAAACTAGTTGTATTTGAGAAGCACACGAAACATAAAGGTGATTGAATTTCTGTTCGATTGCAATACTCTCAAATTTAATCGAGTAAGAATAAGAAATCCTCGGAAAAATTCTAATGGGAATGTTCGATTGACTCAGATTTTGACAGTTCATTTGGTTTAAAACATTCTCTCCGCCTATCTCTCCCTCTGAGTATTTCTAGTCCCTACACGTCACTCCGATTCCAACAAGACCCATATAGTGTGGTACTTCACAGTATATCCCAGTTTCCCAAAATCATAAAAAAACTCGTTCTTTGGAATTTACTTCGTAAAAAGGAAACTCGTTATTTGGGATTTACTTCTTAAAAAAAACCTCGTTATTTGGGATTTACTTTACAAAAAGGGGGACGTAAATTGAATACTGCGTAAAAAAAGATTTCGTAAACGGAGGTTTCAGTGTATTTGGTTTAAATTTTCATATACAAAATGCTTATATATAATCAAAAGTGAATATCTCAGTAAAACTAACTTGATTCATGATGCAATCTTCAGCAAAGTTGTTACTCATTGTTTGAACTTCAAGTTTTGAAAATCTGAATCAAATCGATAATAAGGAAACTTTTTTATGATCGATAGAGTGTAGGAGAGTCATTTTTTCGTGTATTTTATCCAAATTCCCCATACAGAATTTAAACTAAAATCACCAGCTCTTATTACATCCGAATGAGCTGAAATTTTTAGAGAATAGTTTTCTCACATAATGGCACAAAACTAGGGGTTGGCCCGTGGGAAATTAGAACTTTTATTTGTGTGGGCCAGTCTATTCCCTACTAAGTTAGCCAAACATGTACGAAGATCCCACTTCTACGAACTTTTCACGAATTGTTACAAAGCTTCCTTAATTTCTGCGAAGCTCTCTGCAGCTTTACAAGGATCACCGAGTTCCTTTTACATTTATAGATTTTATAAAAAAATCTCTCAACTTCAACGAAGTTTCTTGAATTTCTCCAAGTTTTCTAAATTTTTCTTAAGATTGTAAAATTTCTACAAAGTTTAAAGAAGTTCTACAAAGTTATTTGAAATACGACGAAATTTTATGAAGTTGTGTGTGTGTGTGTGTGTCTTCCTCTATCCCTTACCCAGCCGGGGGCGTTGGACAAGTAGAGCTGCAAATAATTTGATCAAATCTCATACTCCGTAATGGTGCCCTTTATGTTGTGAAAACTAGTACTTCAAAAAGGGTAACTTTTGAAGCAAGACAGGGTGTCCTCAACAAGTTAAGGGAACAGGATGCACTAGATGTCCACAACAGGTACTGCAAAACATCACATAGACGCCCTTATTCACACTAACTACTCAGGGGGTAGAAGGTCAAGAAGAGCCACCGCCGCCAACTAAAGCTTGAATCGGGTACCTGGGACTCCCACGATATACCCACGGCAATAGTCAGCAGACGATGCCCTGTGCGTATATAGTATGTAATATGTTTTATTTGGATACACAAAATGTTTGAAGCCATTCGTTATCTAAATCATAATTTGCATCACCACAAATACACTTGCAACAATCTTCAACTGGAACGTACTCACCAAATCACTTCACCCGGGAGCGCATTCCCGATGCTTTCACGCATATTTTTCTCTAGTCATCCCTAAACAATTCCTCCTCCAGCGACTCCAACCACACAACAACCTATCACTTTTCTTTGCTTTTCTTTTTCAAGTCACTCCGTGCACAACAGCAATGCACATTGCAAAACCCTAACAATAGATGAGCGCCGTTCTCATCACCGCGTAAATAAACTGAAATTAAAATTTTCACTAGCGATGCCACAAATTTCTGGTCCGGGAGAAAAAATCGAACCACGCAGATAGCAGCAAATCTTCTGATGCTTGCAATTTTGCAAACATGATAAATCATGTTTTCTTTCCCGATACGACGAAATTTTATGAAGTTCTATAAAATATTCTGCACTTCTAAGAAGATTTTTAAGGTTTTGCGAAGTTATTTGAACATTGACAAAGTTCGCTGAGCTTTTACAAAATTTTCTGCACTGCTGCATATTTCAGCTGCACTTCCAGAAAGTATCCAGCAGTTCCTTGAACTTTTACGAACATCTCTGAAATCAAATGACGATATCTTAACTTCTACGAATTTTTCTTGACATCCCTGAACTTCTGTAAAAACTCAGTTTTATAAATCTGAAATATTAGAAGGTGTTCCCTTACCCGCCTGCAAAGTAGTGCAGAGTACTTTTTGACTTCCATCAACGCGAGTATCATGTCAACATATTCCTACCCATACCTTAATTGATCCGCACTCGGACGCGGTTGGCGCTGGAATTGCTCATTATAAAGTTTGAGATCAGCAGTTTTTCACACTGAGGATGTGTGTTAGTCTCTTGCATCATCTGTCAGTTCTCTGTGTAATTAGAGCTGATCTGGCAATAAAGGAGTAGTAACCGCGGGCGGTCAATCATGCTCATGCTCATGCTTCCAACTTCCGGACTTCTGCACGATGATCGAATTTTTAAATGGATGCTATAATCTTCATTCATGAAAAATCGTATAAAAGCAAAGAAGCATGAATCAACCAATGTAACCAAATCCATATTATAAGGTTGTCTCTATAAATAACACTCAGACTAACACAGCATCACCGTCAGAAATCCACGACAGACAAAGTCATCGCGTCAGTTTGCTTTATCTCGTGCATTTAACCGGACGCTTTGATTTTCGTTTAATCATCGGTCAAGGCTTTCCGTGCGTAGCTGGTTTTGTTTAATATTGAAATCGTCACTCAAATGAGCAATGAGTTTGATTGAATGTTGGTTGTTTTTGTTCTCAATTGGGATAGTAAGGATGGCATTATCCACAGAACCAGGTAGCTAATTGAAACAATATTGCATGATAAAGTTGAGCAAAACGTTCTTTTAGATAACGCCTGTCTTACTGGAAAGGCACAACAGGGGAGATGCGTACACATAGATAGTTGTCCAGAGCTTCGAAAGATTGCTTATGGTACCGCAGTTTCAAAAGCAGAACATCTTTACCTTCATGCTCACATTTGTGCACCACTAAAGGTGAGGCTTTCTTTAATTGGCGAATTCATTTATGGATTTTATACCATTTTTAGGTCTGTTGTGAAAAACCTGTTGAAGGCAACTCAGCGAAAGATAGTACAACTACCGAAAGTATCGTAGAACCACCGCCTACTCTACCAGATGAAACGGATTGTGGACTTGACAATGCTGCACAGCGGATCATCGGCGGAGAAGAAACCGAAAAGGAACAGTTCCGTTGGACAGTAGCCTTAGAGTACAATCAAGGGAAAAAACAAGGCATTCTATGCGGAGGGTCTTTGATCAACACAAAATATGTGATTACGGCAGCTCATTGCGTTGCAAACGTAACAGTAAAAGAGTGAGTGAGCTGTTTATTTCAGGTAAGTACACACGGGTACGGATCTAATTTAGATTTTCCTATCTGCACTTAGACTGACAATTCGACTTGGTGAATGGGATCTTGGAAATAACCCAGATTGCGAAGAAGATGACGACCAAGATTGCAATCCTGATGTAGTGAACGCGACCATCAGCAAAATAATTATTCATCCCAGATACGGAAACCAGAGAAATGACATTGCATTGCTTAGGTTGACGGAAGCTCTTCCAGATAACTATACGACCCATATTTTGCCAATATGTTTGCCTTCATCGGCGGAGCTAAGGCAAAATTCTTTTAGCGATAAAAATGTAAGCGTGGTTGGTTGGGGACAAACTGAAATGGGTAAGTTATTTTACGGTCTATGAATTTCAATTGAGTTAATAAAGGAGACAAACTATTATTGCAGCGTCGAGAAGCCAACTCAAGATGTATGCAAAATTAATAATAATAAGCCTAATGGAATGTGCAGAAGATTTAAGTGATTTTAATGTAGTGCTGAATGGAATGCACATTTGTGCAAGATCTGCAACGGATAGCATTCGTGATACCTGCGGTGGAGATTCGGGAGGTCCCCTGCAAATTCAGCTGAATGGAAATTACTATCTCATTGGAGTCGTGAGCTTTGGGCCACCATGTGGAAGAACATTACTGCCAGCGGTGTACACTAGGATTACCTTCTACATGGATTGGATATTGGAGAATATCGTCCATTGACATCATCGGGGATTTTTTTGAGAAGTGATCTTCGCTAGACATATTTTGTTAGTTTATATTTTAACAGAAAAGAAAAAGATAGTTCACTTATTGAAGGTTAATTGTGAGTGTCGCGAATGATCAAAAAGAGTGAGCCTTCAAAAAACACAACAACCATAATTCCAACTTTTTTTTCCTTGATTTGTTTTCCGTGTTGAGCACCAATGCTACCGACGCCAGGAAGGCAGCTCCCACATCTGGACCCTACCTATCGACCCATCAACTCATGAACCGGAGACCAACGGCTTTACTTCCCTTCCGAAGGAAGGCGTGATCAGAGTTGTTATACCTCACAACATCTCGGCGGCGCCGACTGGGATTGAACCCAGGCCTGCTGGGGTGAGAGGTAATCACGCTTACCACTACACCACCGGCACCGCTGTTATTCCACATTGCAATGCGGATTTCTATGAAGGTAGATAATTCTATGTTATGGACTTTTAGAAGGTTGGTCGACTTTCTAGGAAAAGCTATGAAAATTTACGAAGCTTACACGCAGGCAAAAGAACGTAAGAATTCCATAAGAAACACTTATGAATTTTAGCCATAATAAATTAGTAAGAATTTCAAATATGATCTTGACTTTTTTTACCTAGGGGATGAGTACTTAAGGGGGTTAGATTTTGATAAGTTCTTTAGTGAGAATGACACTGATGAAGACTGCACATTGTAGTCGAAATACGTATCTGTCATGGATACCAAAATTAATTAAGTGGAATTAAATGGAAGATAACCTTTTTTGCTGTTTTATTATCATTTGTTTGTTTGGTGTCGTCTGATAAAGTTGAAAATTTTCTAAGGCATGGTAGGGATGTATTTTTGAGGATGCATGAAACATTCCTTGGGGCTTGAATGAAGCATTGCTAGAGAAAACTTGAGTTTGACTAAACCTAAGTAGATTTTTTAAGTAATCGAAGTTCGAAAGCAAAAAGCTTCAGAAGCAAATGGAGTTGTGTTACCTCATTTTTAGCCTGTGCACCAACTTAAAAAAATTGATATCTAGCAATAATTACTTTCAAGGTAATTAACTTAAGTAATATTTTGAAATTTGTGAACGTTTTCAGAGCTGTTGCACTGGTAGGTTGAGGTTAGGGTGACTCACTGGTATGGCTGCCAGAATTTTTTTTTTTATTGATTACTTTATTTGTACAGGCTCAATCGAATAAACTTTACAGAGCCGAGTTATCATTTTCGTTATACATTATTTATGTCTTATATTTAAAGTTAAAGGAGCTGGACCCTACCTTTTGACCCATCAACTCATGAACCGGGGACCAACGGCTTTACTTCACTTCCGAAGGAAGGCGCGATTAGAGATTTTATGCCTCAGAACATCCCGGCAGCGCCGACTGGGATTGAACCCAGGCATGCTGGGGTCAGAGGTAATCATGCTTACCACTTCACCACCGGTTCCGCTAGATCTTTATGTTCTACAGACTCAAAAAAGTCTTGTATGATGCCGGGACGGGACTTGACAATCCAGTTTCTCACTCTTCTCAATGTTTTTGATGAATGCCCGTCGAAAATTAGTGCATGGTGTTTGACGGAGTTGAAAAATGATGCCAGGATTGCAGATTGATTTTTTTTTAATATGAATTTGATTCGGAGTTTCTACTGCCGTTTAGCACCTTGTACATCATTTCTGCTTAACACAATAAAAACAACCATAAACAAACAAGAATATCCATCGCTTAAAGCACACCGTGGACCCTATTTTCCAACTTTAGTTTCACAAATATAAACAATTAACAACGCCATTGACGTCAACATTCCACGATTGCTACTGTCAAATCGACCAATCAGCAACTGGCTCGGATTTGACAGAAAATTGGCTCGAAATCGCTACCCGATTGTCAAGTCCCGTCTCAGGTATGATGTACAGATTTATTATGCCAATCCATAAAGCCACCTCACATCTAACAGCAAGGTTAGTAGCCAGCACATTATCGAATTCAGCAAAGTGACTTACATCACCTTTTCTGTAGACGCTCGCAAACCGAAAGCAATCCACAAACGTCGTGCGGCGGGGAGCAGTCAAAGCGGACCGAAATAAATTCAAGCAAGGAAGGCCTTCACAAGAAGTAGGTACAGTGCTTTGTTGTTGAGCGAGCCTGGACCTTATCCCAATTGGCCCCAGGGCCCCAGCGTTTCAGTCGTGACGATAGCGATGCCAGCCTTACGGAAGCACACATGATTGGAGCAGGTAGACTCTTCATTTGGACGAGAGCCGGGTAGCAACACACCGACTGACTCACCTATTCAGCTCACGGTTCCATGACAGCAGAAGTCGAAGATGTTTCCCATGCGTGCATGAACACGAAATCGTCCGCCATTCGGACGAAGATCAGAAGGAGACTCACCAGTTGCCCGGAAAGCTGGGTGTATGGCCAGCGAAGCGAGATAGTAGTGGTCGTGGTCGCACGAATCTACTCATCTACGGTGCATCCCCAACGGGGCCGACGGAATACAAGCAGACGAAGCAGAGCGAAAAGGCAGGTGCATACAGCAGCAGTAGAAGACAGGATGGAATTATGGGCTGCGTTCCCACCCCGAAAGTTCTAATTGTTGTACATTTCTTAACGTAATTGATTTGATTAGTTCCCACAGAGTTTCATGGATTTTAGCATGAGAATGAGCATATGATTGACCACTAGACTGATGCAAAATTTGACTTTTTCGCTCCACAGTGCTTAAATGGTTTCAAATCGGGTTCTGATTATCCTCCCAAAGTTACAACGAGACAGTAAAAAGTTATTAATTATTTAAGAGATTGGTAAACTTATGACAAGATCAACCAGCTGCTCTGTAGGCAACACTGTATTTTGCAGTGTGAAATAGTAGCCATGATTTTTGTGTCCTATTCAACGCCCCTGAAACACCAATGTTGCCTGCTGAGCAGTTGATTGAGCATGATCATAAGACATCAGCGGATTGAACCATTGATAACTTTCGATCCTTGCATTTAATAAAAAAAGTGGTCTTGAGCAAAGTTGTAGCTGGGAAAATTTCCTACAAGTACAGTTGAAAGCTTTTGAAACAGATCGATATGGGGAATTATTAGATAGACACGAGCCAAAATCTTAGTTTTAGCATAGTAATTCCCATAAAAACTTCAAATGGTTTGTGCCACCTCAGTTTCCCACCAAATGGGTTCAGGATGGGTTAGTCAGGATCCGATTTGGAATCGTTTAAGTATTGTGGAGCGAAAATTTCAAATTTTGCATCACTCTATTAACCACCCACGGTTTTTTTTTTACAATTACTTTATTTGTACAGGCTCAAGCGAATAAGCTTTACAGAGCCGAGTTATCTTTTGCGTTATACATTATTACTGTCTTAAATTTAAAGTTCAAGGAACTGGACCGAGTACTCGCGGTTGTCTCGAGGTTAGTGGAGATTTACAATTTTTTGGATGGGAAAAGGAAAGAAGGAGGTTTGAAATGTGGTTTACGATACAACTATTTAATTAATCCTGAAGCATGAAATTATTTCTATTCATCTTGAAAACAAACATTGAAAAAAAAACCCCACACGTACAAAATACAAACTAAACACAAGGTTAATCTAAGGTTAATATCCTTAAAGTATACATATATGAGTTTCATAAACTCCAGATCGCGTCTAGCCAAAATATCCCGAACTGGAACATTAGGTTGTCTACCTCGAGCCTGAAGGGAATCATAAAAATGTGATCAGACTCCACGATACTCCGCACAAGACCAAAGGATGTGATCAGCGTCCTGGTAACCTTGTCCACATTCACAGAGATTGCTGTCTCCCAACCCCACACGGAACAAGTGAGCGTTTAGACAATAGTGATTGGACATGAGACGAGACATCACGCGTATGAAGTCTCGACCCAAGTCCAACCCTTTGAACCATGCAAACTTCGACACCTTAGGGATAATTGAATGTAGCCATCGTCCCAAGCTCCCTTCACTCCATTGATGTTGCCAGCTAACGATCGACTGCTGACGATAAATAGAGAAAAATTCACTATAGGCGATCTGTCGATCATAAATGTCGCCTTCCATAGCGCCCACCTTCGCAAGTGAATCCGCCTTCTCATTGCCCAAAATTGAGCAATGCGAAGAACACACGGATAAAGCACTAAGCAGTTCTCGTATTTTCAAGAGAAAATACGAGAAGTGCTTTACCGGCCTAATGGAACGAATAGCCTCACCCACGGTTGCTACTCTATTTTTTTTTCAGATCAGCTGTAATTACACAGAGAACCAATAGACGACGCTTGAAACTAGCAATCATCCTCAATGTGTAAAAACTAGTGATCTAAACCTAGGCAATACAATCAAGAAAGGAATAAGTACGAATATGTTGACGTGACACTCGCTTTGATGAAAGCCGAAAACATCTTTGCAATTCCACGAGGAATCACTGGGAAATTTGGTAAGAGGGTTGGGATAGCAGCAGGGTTCGTTTTGGTGAACGGTAAGCTGAATTGATGTCCTACCGATCATATATGTAACGCGAAAGAGCTTGGGATTGAACCCACGATATTTTGCTCAGTAAGCAAAAACGTTTGCCACTAGGCAAACGAGCTCCTTTTATTACAACACACCAATGATCGATTTGATGTTATTCCAATGTATTCACAACAACAAATAAAGCGATTAACGACTATTGAATGTGGAGGGCCTTGAGATTAAACTCGTGATGTTCTACTCAGTAAGCAAATATGATCGCTCTAAGCCCGAGATTCATAGAATTATGTTAAGTAAACTGCTTTACAACCAAAACTAGTCATATAAAGGTTATATAGCTGCTATAGAACATGTGTGTTGCTTGAGAGGCCATCAAGCCCCTCATATCACATCATACAAGCTACGATCGCAATTTTATTGCAACCATTCAAAACCCGCCCAACGGTGACGTTGATGACGATGTTAAGTTTCACAAAACACACGATAAAAAAGCGATGTTACTGTAAGTCTCCATAATATGATAGGACTTGGGATTTATTCAAACTCAAGCTCGACTACGGTGCCTTTTACACAAAAATAAGCCTCTACAACCGATTATCATTTAAACCTGAAGGCAAAAAAACTTCG